GAGCAGGTTTAGGGCTCTTGTACATAGGGTCACTGTGAGTTGCAGGCAACTCGACAGCACATAACAACAACCAAAAAGTAGGATTCACCAGAGAGGCCCTAGAGTTTTCTTCATTTTTCTGATGGATATAGGGCTATTCCGGTTAGGATTGGTGGACGATCTATCAACAATCTGCATTATACAGATGACACAACCCTGCTCGCTGAAACTGAGGAGGACCTCATGCACTTACTGCAGAGGGCCAAGGACTGCAGCCTTCAGTATGGACTGAGGCTCAATGTCAAGAAGACAAAGATTCTCACCACTGGACCAATTGGTAGCATCAGGATGGATGGCGAAGAGATTGAGAGTGTCCACAGCTTCAGTTTGCTTGGCTCCACAGTCAACACTCTTGGCACCAGCAGCCAGGAAATCAAAAAAAGTATTGCGATGGGAAAGTCTGCTGTTAGGGACCTCTCTAAAGTACTCAAGAGCAATGGTGTCTCTTTGGAGACGAAGGTGTGCCTGATACAGGCCATGGTCTTTGCAATCACTTGTTATGTATCAGAGAGCTGGACAGTGACTAGGGAGAATAGGAGAATTGACGCCTTTGAGCTGTGGTGCTGGAGAAGAGTATTGAATGTACCATGGACTGCCAAGAAAACAAACATTCATCCTAGAGAGGGTTAAACCAGGCTACTCCTTGGAGGCAAGGATTCTGTGGCTTTGTCTGACATACTTTGGACATGTTGTAAGGAGAGACAGGTCTTTGGAGAGGGACATCATGCTTGGTAGGGTGGAGGGACAGTGCAGGAGGGGAAGACCCTCTATGAGGTGGATTGATTCAGTGACTGGGGTAATCGGGATGGGTGTGTCAGAGGCAATGCGATTGGCACAGGATAGAGCAGGGTTTAGGGCTGTTATACATAGGGTCGCTATGAGTTGCAAACGACTCGACGGCACATAACAACAACAACAATTCTAAGATGAGCCTACATAATTTGTATCTTTCAAAGAAGTTTTCTATTTTATATGTCAAATGTGTGGCTTAAGATTCTTCATAATTTAACATTAATAAAATATGATTTTTTTCTCTCACATTTAGTATATGTCCTTTTTTTACTGATCAGTTTGACAAGAGGTGTGTCATTTTTATTGATGTTCTTAATTACTTTTTTGTTGCATTAGTTTCTGCTCTGATTAATCCTTTTTTATATCTGGATTTTGTTTTCTCTACGGATTTTTACTGAGAGCTAAAGCAATTGGATTGAAGCCTCCTTTCTCATGTGATTGCTGTTATTTCTTACTATTCTGTTGGTTTTTTAAAAAAACAACAAGGGAGCTCTGGTGGCCTAGTGGCAAGAAGCTGCACTGCAATCCCAGAGGAACACGGTTTAAATCCACCAGATGCTGTGCAGGAGAAGGAGGTGCAATATCCTCCTGTACCAGTCAGATCTGATTTGACGGTACACGCACACAAAATAAAAAACAACAACAACAACAACAAACCAAATTGTTTTAATAGTATCCCTGTTATCAAATTGCTTCCTAATTTAATTATACTTTTGAGTTCTTTAACTTACGAGTGTTTAGATATGTGCTATTTAGTTTAAAAATATTTAAGATTTTCTCAAGATCTTTTTGTATCTCGAATCCTTCTGATTTCAGACTCTTTAGATTTATTGAAACTTATTTCATAGCTCAGATTATTGCTGGCCTTGTTAAATGTTCCATGTTCTGCTGAGAAAAATATATGTATATTCTCCTGTTAGTTAGAAATTAGTCTTTATAAATGTCAGTTTTATCCATATGGATGTTAACCACCTCTTCTGTATTCCTGCTGATTTTCTAGTAATTCTCTTAATTACTAAGAGAGAGATTGGAATCTCCAACTAAATTTGTGGATTTGTCTATATCTAATTAATTTATACTTTGATGTTGAAACAATTATCTAGGGCATACAAATTAAGATTGTTGTGTCTTACTTAGGTATTGTCCCTTTTTATCTATTGTGATTATCTTTACTCTTGAATGGGTTTGATAACACCGTAGTCCCTTGAGCTTTCTTGGACTGGTTAATGTGTGCATGTAATACATTTTTCCATCTTTATCTTTTTATTTTTTAATTATGTCTTTGTGTGAATGGCTATATCACTAGGCTTGGGTAAGAGTAAATAACCATTTAGGGGAAGTTATCTGTCTTCTGTGAGAATTACATGCTGACATTACCATTGTTAAATATTTTCCCTATATCCTTTATATTTGCTATATTTAACTTTGTATATTGACACTACTATATGTTCGCCTCTGTTCATGGTGCTATTAAAAAAGAGCCCTCCTAGTGCAGTGGTTAAGTGTATGGCTGCTAGTGTCAGGGTTCAAATTCATCTGCCACTTGGAGGGAGAAAGAAGTGGCAGTCTGCGTTTGTAAAGATTAAATCTATTTCCGTTTTGTTGATTCCCATTCACAGTGACTCTAGAGGATGGACTAGAACTACACTTCAGGCTTTTCAAGCCTATAATCGTCATGATTATTGTCCTCATTATAGGAGCAACAGTCAACATTATAGTAGTTGGAGAAAGAATTAAAGCTGTCGTAATTTCATCTTGCTTAGATCAACAATCACCAACCTAGGTACCAGCAGTCAGGAAATCAGGAGACTTACTGCATTGGGCAAGTCTGCTGTTAGAGACCTCCAAAATGTTGAAGAGACTAAGGTGCACCTGATTCTGGCCATGGCCTTCTCAATCAGCTGTGATGTATCAGAGAATGACAGAAGAAACATTGATGCCTTTGAGTTGTGGTGCTGGAGAAAAGTCCCATGGCCTGCCAGAAGGACAGACGATATGTCTTAGAGAAAGTAGAGCCAGAGTGCTCCCTTGGAGGCAAAGATGGCAAAGCTTTGTCTTTCATACTTTGGACATGGAACTAGACAAGGCTATTCCTTGGAAAGAGATACCATGCTTAGGAAGATAGAGGGTCAGCAAAGGAGAAGAAGATGCCCTGTGGGATGGGTTGACTTCAGTAGCGGACTCTAGTGCGTCAGAGATAATGAGAATGGTACAGGTCAGAGTTAAGTCTGGCTTTTTATAGGGTAACTGTGAGTTGACTCAATGGCACCTAACAATAGCAGCAGCCTTCATGAGGGGAGCTTTGGTGGCATAATATAAAGGAGTTACGATGCCAACTCAAAGGTATATAGTTCAAATCTACCAGATTCTCTACAGGAGAAAGATGGGTGGTCAATTCCTGTGCAGTGTATAGCCAGTGGAAACCTGCTGGAGGGTTAGCAATGTGTCAGTTATGACATAAGAACAGTAATCTTCATGAAGATGTTTTCTTTTATAGAGCAACAGATGGATTTGAACTGCCAAACTTTTAGCTCAACTACTTCTGTTGGCTCTTTCAGTATCGTTTACAGCCAAGAAAAATCCTAGGGTAGCAATTCTCCTCTGTCCTAAATATTGCTTTGTGTCTAACTTGACAATAGCATGTCTTCTACTCTTTCAGTGATGGTAAAATGGCAAGGGAAAAAGACCAAGGAAGGTCGAGAATGACCGCACCTGGTGGATAGGCACAGTAGATACTGCTTTAGGAAGAGTTGTCATGGAAGGCCTCTAACTAGGAGACATGATGTATGCATGCAGTGTATTATGCAAAAGAGTTTCTGGCTGAAAGAATAGCCAGTACAAGACATAAGGTGGGGCCATGCTTACGAATTCTGAGAACAGTGTGGCTAGAACAGAGTGAGTGATGTTGGAAAGTCCATTTTAACCAGCTTGACTGTCAGTTTGTCCAGCTGCGGTGGTTTGTGTCCAACTGTAATGGTGGAAGTTATGCTGCTAGTATTTCAAATGCCAGCAGGATCAACTCTGACAAATGGGTAGGTATTATGAGAGTGTCTACACAGGGACAGACTAGGAAGAAAGGCCTAGATTTTTGCTTCTGAAAATTAACGGATGGAAACTCTGAATCACACCAGGAGATTGTTAATAAAAGTGCTTGAAGAGGAGCCCCCTAGTTAGAAGACTTTCCAAATGCGTAGTAGCAACGATGGACTCCAGCATATTGATGATCACGGAGCTGGCACAGGATGAGCTGCATTTGGTTGTATTGTACGTAGGATTGGAGCTGATTCAATGGCATCTGATAACATCATCCACCTAGAACATTGGTGGAATTCTAAATACTCCTTTGAATCCACCAGTTGCTTCTTGGGAGAAAGATGGACAATCTCTCATTTTATGGCCTCTGTAAACCTGTTGGAGAGTCCAGTATTAGTTGATTCTGATACAATGGCATTGAAAGAGAACAAGGAGTGAAAACTGTTGGTATGTCTTAACATCATGAGGTCAAAACTGCACAGTACAAGAGGGGCCTTAGAGTTTAAGGGGCGAGGCAAAGGGCACGTCTCTTTGTTTCCTCATTGCACCTGAAGTTGGTGAAGTCCTAAGATCAGTGAGTTGTGTAGAATACCCCATCTGTTAGCCTGGTCTAAATAGATGGATGTTAAGTTTTTTCACCCAATATATAAGGAGTTCTTTTTTTGTTCCTTTTGGTTCCTAGATATGCAGGCAATGATAGTTTTAGACAAATTCCATGCCTTTCTCTGTGTTTGCTTCTTTTTGATATGTGGCTAGTGGCTTTGTTTTAGGTATGTTAGGATACTTGGAAACTCACATATTTTCACACACAAAAAAGGGAACTTTAATTTTGTATCTAGTGTACGTATAATTTCAGCATGCTTTCTAGTATCCCACCCTCTGTGCAGTGTCACAGTGCTTGCTGCCACAAAGTTTCTTTGGATTTTCACAAGAGTGTCATGGAAAAGGACATAGGAAATGAGAGAGTGGGCATAGTGCTACTGGTGTAGGCTAGCTAGCTACTTGCTTTGGTGTTGACAGAGATGTATGTGTGTTTGTATATAGGTGATATCTTTATCTAGGGAAGAATAAAGTAAACACATTGTATTATTCTCAGAATAAAAGAATTCACATTTGTTTTCTACTTTTTGTTGCAGGTATTTCTTGGTGGATTTTTATGCACCAACAACAAGAGTTGAGAATATAATGGAATATTTGTCTCGAGATGTTGATGTGATTAGACCAACTGTTGTGAAGCACCCGCTAACTCAAGAAGTAAAGGAGTGTGAAGGGATTGTCCCAGTCCCACTGGAAGAAAAACTGTATTTTGTGAAAAAGAAGAAGTAAGAAGATTCATCCGATTTTTCCTGTATTTTAAATCTTCTCACTTTTGAGCATCATGTGTTGTTAATAGTTTACAAGTTTGACCTTTATGTAGGTGTGTGTTGCAGGTATCACTCGATTTTCTAAATTATTTTTTGTTTCTTGATCCCTTTTGCATGAGAAGTGGGTCAGCAACTCACCTAGAGGCACTCTGCACACCATACTTGATTTCACCCCTCATTAATTTCTTTGTCAGTGATGGTACTTTGCCTTATAAACACTACCATTGTTTATAGTACAAAACTTTCAAAGGTGCCTTGGATTGCAAGCAACTCATTCAGATTATATATCTGTGGAAAAATAAAATTTTAAAGCTGTTGTGTCATATGACTTGACTTTTGATCAGGGTAATAAATAAGATTTTTAAGTTCCCCTGAAGTACTTTGTCTCATCTGTTGCCAAGCCGCGTGTGCTGTTCAGAGCCTTAATACTCCCAGTCTTGGTGAGCCTGCAGATGGGGGTGGGAGAAGGGCTACTCACTCATCTACCAAAATTAGGAGTGGGGGGGAGTGATGTGGTGGTGTCTGCTCCTGGCCACTGGACATTTTTTAAAATCAGAGCCTGCCTTTTCTCTCTGTGTTTGTCAGTGTGTTTGTTCTCTGCACCTGGTTTATATGGAATATATGTGTGCGTTTTGGGGCTGGCATTGCTCTCTTATACTCCTTTGCCATTGGCACTTGCTTTGTCCACTATCTCTCAGCACTGGGTAAGCCTTTTTGAGGGTGTTGCCACTTTTTAAAATTTTTATTTTTTTTTGGGGGGGGGTGCTACTTTTTTAGACCTGTCCCTGTCCTTTTCTCACTTTGATGAGTCAGAAACCATCCAACTTGAGGATGCCTGAGGAGCTAGCCAGCATCAGTGCCTTTGACTCTTAGTGCAACTTACTAGAAGACTTGCACTCTCTTTTTTGTTGTTACTATGATGATATCTTCTTAAAACTTACCCTGGAAGTTAAAAGACAAAAACCACATTTTGTTTGGAAAACTTCATTATTTTTAGTAGAGGGAAGAAGTTGAGTTTATTGTGTGGTTATACTTTTGAGACTAAGAATCAGCTGTCCTTAGTGTGCTTGAAATGAATATGATTAGGATTGCTAGATTTATTTAGCAAATAAAAATGCAGGAAACCCACTTAAATTTTAATTTCAGATTAATGATCAACTCATGCGAATACTAAAAATGATGTTGCTTATCTGAAAATCAAATCTAACTGCATATCCTATCTTGTGTTTATCCTGAGCAATTCTAGTATAATCTGTCCCAAAAAAATAAGAAATACCTAGCCAGAGACAAGGTCTCTTCTGCTTCAACAAAACCTGAAAAGGAAAAGACATCAGCACCCAACACTTGGCTTTTCACTGGCAACATTTGTGGCAAGACAAGTCCAAAAAACATCACGAGTAACAGAAGACAATGCACCATGTGTATGTTCCAGTATGTTGCAAACTCTTTACTCTTTCAGCCCACCAGAAAACTGATCCATGAGTCCACAGCTATCAAGTAACGGAGCTGGGACCTTTTACTGGGGACTCTGACACATGTAACATTTTCTTTCCAATGACTTAGTGTATTTTTGCCTTCTTTAGTTAAACAAGACACTAGTGTTTAGGGTGAACTCTACTACAGGTAGTGACATTTGTCTTCAGTAGCCTGCTATTGGCCATTCCAGGTCAGCCAAGAGTTCAGAGCCCAGGGGCACACTTTAGAGGGTGTTCTGGAAGAGGCTGGCTAAGTAGGACACCAAGTGTGTGCCAGCTGCCCTCCTTGGAAGTCTAAATGAAGCATTGCTCCTCCCCTCTGAGCTGCTGACTCAGAAGCTTGTCCTTCACCACCTCTGATCCATTAGACCCCTTATGTTTGAACAGGATATCTGTGCAGGTGATTCCCAGGGAGCACATTAACTCAAAGTAAGCAGTATTTTAGGGTTTAGTCGTGTTTATAGGGGAAAGCCAGAGGCTCTGCTCTGGCATGGATGCTATGACAAAGGGCTCCTGTCCTTGTGGAGCTGATAGTCGAGCTGGCAAGGCAGACAGGAGGTCTGGTGCTCATTGTTGAGAAGTGCTATGAGAAGAAGGTACAGAGTTCTCCAAGAGGACGAAGTAGTGAAATGCCTTCAGCTGAGACCTGAAGGACCAGGAAGCAGAAGGTGAGGCCAGTCTGAAGCTCTTTACTGGAGAGTAGAGAACAAAGGAGCAAGCGATTAACAAAGACTCAGGTTCAGATCTGGGAACTAGACCCCTGAAGAATAAAGTCAGCTGAAAGAACCATAAGCACAAGGGACCAGATGAAGGTGCAGTCACAACTCAAGATGTTCTGAGTTTATGTAAAGATACATGGTGCCTACATTGCTTTTATGTTATCTGACTGGATTTCTTGACGACTATGTTGTTATGTGCCATCGAGTCGCGACTCATAGCGACCCTGTGTACAACAGCCCTAAACTCTCTTGTGCCAATCGCACTGTCTCTGACACTCCCATCCCGATAACCCCAGTCACCGAATCAGTCCACCTCAAACGACTATAGAATGTGCTAATTGGACTTCCCAGAGAAGTGGTTTCATCTGCACTTGAGACATCTGAAGTGAGCTCTAGGTCCTGGCCACAGACTGAATTGTCACTTAAGAGGTAGTGATGAGACGACAACGGAGTGTTTTACCTCAGTGTCCAGTGCTTGTTTTACACAGGGCTCAAAGAAACTCCACTCATTCCACTATTTCTAAAAGACAGTTTTGCCACTGTGTTCCCACCAGCCTGCAGGAAGATGTGACTTGTGACTAGGGCAGAAGTTCTGAGAGAAGCTCAGGGGCCCCTCATGACAGTAATGCTTCTGGGAGTTAGTGCATGCATCTGAAGGCAGGGAGCACAACCTAGACCTGCAACAAGACAAGCAGTTTTGGTTTGAGGACACAGGGTGCAGTTTGCTTATTTGTTTGGTTTTGTTGGTTTTTTGTTTTTTTACAGAAAATTTACTTGCTATTTATTAAACATAGGTTTTTTTCCAGTGTTTTGGTGTTTTTTTTGAGGGAGAATCAGTGTGCATAATAAGGCAGACCCAAAGAATGAGATGGAACCTGTGGTCCTGAAACACCAGTCTCAGGCAGCTGGGGATACTGTGTCCCCATGGGAACAATGAGGTAGTTTGGTTAGCGATATACAGGTCTTTAATGGGGGAAATGAACAGAAGAATATTAAGCCTCAAGTAGGTCTTTTAGAATTTTGTGAAGAGACTAATCTTAAGAGATGTAACATTTGAGATCATATAAACTTAGTCATGAAAGTACTGAATATTAGAGTAAGGACAACAAAACAAAAAATGCACACGGGTGGTTATGTACGGGTGGACACATAGGTGAGACTAGGGAGAAGTATCTAAAATGTAGGTACAGACATATTCTTTGAAGACACATATATGGACACTCCAAAGACATTTCATAAATTTCCAAAGTTCGCTTGTTTTGAAAGGGGTTTCTTAGTCTTTCAAAGTGCCATGTCTGATTTTTAACACTTGAAAGAGCTCTTTTGCAGCAGATTTGCCCAATGTAATTCATGGTTTGATTTCTTGTACATGGAAATGGCTAGTATGGAGCATGGGTGGTGGGAGGCGGGGAGCTGAAAAAAACTCGTGAGCTTCAGGTACCTGAGAGCAGGAAAGCATGGGGTGGGGGGGGGGGGGTGAAGAGCTTAGAGTGCAAGAGCCTGGGGCTATAGTTGGAAAGACTGGAAAGGCAGATTGGGTGCAGGTCATTGCCTGTGAAAGAATATTCTGTGGGTGATTACTAAGAGTCTCTCAGCCCCTGGGTGATGCTAATGGCCAGGTGGTTGGCTACTAAGCTAGCTGTTGCCAATTCAAACCCACCCAGTGGCATCTTCAAAGTCTTGATGATGTGCTTTTGAAAAATCACAGCTGTTGAAACCACCTCAGAGCAAGAGGTTGCTGTCAATCAATCACCATGGACCAGAATGACCACTGCCTTGGTTTTGTAAGAATCAAAAGAGTCAAGAGTGAGTACTATGCATGTAAATTTACACTAAAAGGTGCTTTCTAACTAGCATTTCTGCTGCTGATGATGTATTTGTTAAATGATTATACATACTCACCAGGAGGAGGTACAAAGAGCGCTGAGGCAAGGTTTTCCAATTTCCACATGAAGATGGGCAGACATGAACAAGACTGTACACACCTGCCGAATGGGCCTTAATTGGACAGGTTGTTCTTTGAAATGCTGTGTGTGGACACAGACATTTAAAATGTAGACATTATTGAATGAATCCAGCACACTTGATCGTGTTTATGGGAAACCTATACTAATGAGCGAAGACCAGATGAGTTGTGGGAGGATGACAAAGGTATCATTCAGGAAGAGTGCAAA